AACATTGGCTATTGCGGAGTACAATGGTGGTATTTCAAAAGGTATTTTGAGGACAATAGACTAAATACTTCTGCAGGACTATAGTCACTCGGTTAATATTCCCATAGCTCTGACATGCTTTTTCTTTTAATACAAAATATTACTTGTAATTACAAGTGGAATTTGCTAATAAACATGGTTGATAACGAAATATAATTACATGCAAAATTAGCTTGTGCACAAAATTTTTAAAACACCGCTTTTCTGATACACTGCATTTTAGAGACGTTTGTAAATACCATCAGTATATTTTAAGAACTACTTTCTGGAAACAAAGATATCAGGTGCCCTTAAAGAAATGTTCTGAATGCTTTAAAACATCCCAAGGTCTAAAATAATTTGTTTTACTTTTAGCAGGAACCAAACGTGAAAGGGAGGGGGGATTATGCAAATCAAAGAAGGACACGCGGCGCAGCAGGACACAGGCAGACCGGAGGGGTGGGCTGGGCGGCGGACGGGTGCTCCGAGCACCGAGCCCAAGTGACCACGCACTCTCTTTATGGGGCAATTTGCTGCCGTGACATGCCAAAATAGAGTGATATCAATGTAAACCCACCCCCTGCGGAAACAGTATTCCAGAAGAGAGTACCCCACACAAGGACTATAAGCGTAACTATAGCAGAGTAAGTATCCTGTTACAGTTGCATTGAGAAATTTCACTGTGTTGATAAAACCCTCAGTCCAATCTTTGCATAGAGGAAATTATCTTTTTGCTCCAAGATACGACAGCATCTAACAAATATATGATGACGTTGAGAACACTCAATGCCCACATAGGTCCTGACAATTTAAAAGCAGAAGTTTTCTCCTTTGTTCTGCTTTGGCTATAAAATACACTTTTTGATTTTTTTCCCTCTCAACATTTTTAAACACAACAAAGAAAAACAACTGTTTCAAAATTTTTCACACGAAGGGGAACATTATTATATGACATTCTTTCTTAGAAATCTTTTAAGTCTTATTTATTAACAGAGTTAATCTGATCATAAGCTGGCTGACACACAAAGCGTTGAAATATGTCATCTTCAAACCATGTTTTGCTAATGAAATTTTGGTGTTAATTCAGGGGATATAACAGAATCCTAGAATCTGTAATATGAGCCAAACAACAAATGTGGTTCCTCTGGCAAAAAACCATCATTTTCTCCCTTTTCTGTTGTGGGTTTGTCACTGCATGCTCTCCATCATCCATTTCTTTCCAGAATCTACTTTTTGATGTGGAGTCCCCACTTGGCCATCAACTTCTACATTAAAATTCTCTGAACATGTTTTGCAGTTCCAATCCCAGGAACTGCTTTGCACTTTCAATCCTAGGATCCAAAAGGATTTAATAAAAAAAACTAAGGCTGGGATTTCATAAATAACCTCAAGGTATCTCTACAATGCAATCAACTTTATGCTAGTGCTGAGTCCAGCCAGTAACCACTGCCAAAAGCAGCAGAAAAGTTAGGTAAATGCTCTGACCATTTGACTATATTGAGCTCCGGGTTGTTGTGGCTAGATTGCTATCGGGATGCAAGAAAGCTAGTTGAAATTTAGCCTTAATAAGTTTACACTACACTTCAATGACCAACGTAGCTCCTGCATAGACATTCTCAAGAGTTCAGCACCCAAACCCTTACTGGAGGGTGCCTTCCGAAATCCCAGTGTAAAGCATCACAAATGGGTTAACAGACATGGCAATTTAAGCAGCTTTTCCAAGCATCTGCAGGGCATTAATATAATTGTGCTCTCAACTAATCCTATGGTCTAAACCAATGGATCCTGATCTTTGAAGTGTAAGCACATTACAGGAGAGCCATGGCACAGAGACCAGGTGAGCTTTGCTGGATTTGCCCCATGCCAGGCCAACTGCAGTGTCCTTGGACTCTGCTCCAAAGAACATAAGTCCTGGTAAGTTCAAAGCAAAGATATCTACGCGGCACTGTGCTTTTGGGATCGTCCTCTGTGCCAACACTGTCGTAATCCCAACGGGCTCAAACTCAACAGCAGCGAAAAGGCAGCGACAGGAGTCACTCAGTTGTTCAACGCCTTGTCAGATCATTGCATCTTAGGTCTTTGCTATTAGACATTGCAACTCGATGCCATCCAAATTGGTTACTTTATAAGCCTCAAGAAAGGAATGTGATGAGCCAAAACTTTATCCTGATTTTATGACTCTGACGGCACAAACTTTGACTTGCCCTCAGGCCAGACAAATCACGGTGTAATACAGAATGCCAAGTACTTTAAGCATTTGTCTCAAACTGACCCAAACTGAGGCCATCTGAAGCCAAAAAGGGTTGTTCAGATTGCGTTTTTAGGTTGTCAAAAGAAGCAAAATGTTCTTAAAAGTTTCATTTATTCTTTTTCACTAATGTTTAAGATACTATTTAAAAAAAAAAAGATTAAGGAGGTAGATACAATTGTGGAATAACAACTTAGAAATCTTTAACTAGCAAAGAGAGTCAGGAATTTGAATTAACATCAAAATCATGTATTATGGCATCCACATCTGGATATCACTTTACTGACTAAATCCAAAACTTCTCTGAGAGCCAGTTGGTTTCTGTAAAAATGTATTTCTCCCCTTGAAAGGAAATTGGAAGGTCTTACAGGAAGTCAACCCAATACCATATAAAGGAAATTGCAATCTGTTCCTCAATGTTAGTTTAAATCAATGTTATATTTAGCAAATGCCCATTTTTTAACGATAGTCTTTTCAATAGCTTATATTATATTCAGTCTTCTCAAAGGCTTATACTATATTAAGAACTGCTTTGACTTTAGAATGTTTCTTTAATCATCCCTCAAGGTCTTCAGCTTGCCCTAGGTTAGATGTTGTTCCCCATCTCTAGGACATCTAGGATTCCACCAATTTTTTTTGCCCCAGGCCAATAAAAAGCAAAGTATTTCTGCATATGCTCATCTAGAAGTATGTGTGGTTCTTAAAAATACTAAGTGATCGAATATTAAAAACACCTCTTTCTGCTTCCAGAAGCATACACAGCAGTTTACCTTCCTAAGAATTTTCTATTTGGGTATCTGGCTTTCAGTAAATTTCCATTACATCAGTGGTTTCCGAGGAAGATTTTTTTAAAAGTACAATATTAATGATACTAAACAAAATTCAAGAACTCCAAGCATAACAGCTCCTGCAATTTCTTCCCCAAGTTGACCAAATCTTACAAAACATACTCGCAGCACCAGTGCTAAAATCTCTCTGGGACACTGCTCAGAAACCCTGTGCAGAATTCCCTTTTGTTTTTTATGTATTTCATTACATTTTGAGGTAATAATGTCAAAATTAAGTTTATAATAGCTGAACACAGATTTACATGGAGAAGGATTTCATACAACCTATCATCATTAGTGTTCAAAACTGCTATTACCAACAGCTGAATTATTTCCATTGAATGTAATTTAGTTTAGGTAAATCCATAAATTCAACAGTAGCACCTGCACCAGGTGCTAAGAAAAAAGCTGGTAAACGGTCTAAACCACATATTTCAAATAGATAACTCAAGAAGGTATAATGCATGATAACTGTTGAATTACAACATATTTCTGACTACATGGAAGAATATTCCACTGTCACAGGGTTTCAGTATATCTAGGTGGCCACCAGAAAAGTGGAGAACTACAAACAGCACGTTTTTCTAATCAGCAAAAATCCACCTGTACCACAAAATAATGTGAATTAACTATTTGCAGATCCTAGTCATAATAAAAGCTACCTCTAATGATTCAGTTTGGATAATAGATTATAGCCAACATCTATATGGTCATACCTTTGACAGAAGAGACTAAAGATTGATCAGAAAGAAAATTCTGTTCCTCAACACACACACAAATAAAGACAGACATTTTCCTTGAGGGGGGAAAAAAAAAAATCATTAAACAAAAAGAACACTCTGCAGATGATGAGATAGTAATGTCAATCTAATTGCCTTATGCAAATCATTCAGATGTAGAGGACAACATTAACTGTACCGTAATTGAACATCAGATAGTTCCAACATGTAAAAGCTCCCATGGTTTCTTTTCAGCACAGTAAGTTAGAAAAACTGTAGGAGTTCATTTTTTCATGAGTTTCTAGATTTAACAACAGAATTCTTTGTTTGGTACTAGTAAATGTCTTTACAAAGAAAAAAAGGAATTTCCTTCTCCTACACAACTTTTAATGAAGTGTTTTGGTTGTCAACCCTAGCAGATTACATAGTTTCAAAAATCTTCCATTGCTCTTTACTACTCTGAAAGGAAAAATGTGTAAAAAATAATTCTACTTGCTTCTGCAGGTGGGATTCTCTGCAGCTGCTTTGAATCAGGGTGACACCCTGATTCAAAGCAGCAAGGAGCAGAGTCCGAATATTCAGAACCTGTAGTCTCTTAAAGCTTCTTTGAAAAAGACCAGAGAACGCAACTCTGATGCAAAATATATAGAAATCTGATGAAAAAAAGTTACAAATAACAAATATTTTCTTCCATTCATATTTAGCAGAGACTTTGTTTTCAGTGGAACCTAAGAACATACTTTCCTTCATTGCAGCCTTAAACATGAAAGGTGGGGTTGCCTTGTGAAAACCAAGCTAAAGCCCGTGCCATGCTGCTGGCTCTCAGGGGGTGAACTCGGCTCTCCTATTTTTCACCTTTTTTTCCCAAGTGCTGAAAGCACTCTGTAAAGGTACTGAAAATATGTTAAAATATCTGAGTCAATATTAAAAAAATAGAACAGGAAAGTTTCAAGTCTTTGACTGAAGTGGATGGATTAGACCCGCCAAACCCAAACGTTTTATGCAGGCATATGATCAGCTAGAGGAAAGAGAGCCTGAGTCATCAGCTACATCAAAGTCGAGGTCCAGTGAATGGAATTAGTGAGGGCTGTGTGAACAGGAACGGTACCTGCATTCATCTGCCCACTGCAGAACTTTTAATTGCACTCAAACAGCCAGTAGCATCAGTGACTAAAATCCCCAGATTACCTTGATTGCTCTGTCATTATCTGTAATCAGCTGCTGCTTCTTATCTTCAAATTTTTGTACAACTTCCTGGAGCCGCTGCTCTGTGGCAAGCTGCTGCCGGCTGTTCTCCTCTGTCAGAGAGGAAATGGTTGTCTTAAGTTCAGCTATGATCTAAAAAGAAAACAGCATGCTAAATCTCTCTTCAGTCAAAGGCATGTATTTTGCATGTTTTTATGCTCAGTACAAGCATGGCATTGGCATACTCTGCTGTGCAAGCTAAATATTTTAAATTAACATATTACACACTAGCAAGCATGAAATTCCACGCAGAGAAAAAGGAATATAGTAAGGTTGCAAATGACAAAAATTGCTGAACACAAAATATTTGGAAGGGTTTGCCACTATGACATTCCAAAATATTTACTCATGAGAACAAAGCACATCTGTGATCTTCAAAAAGGAACGTGTTTCCAGCCTTCCACTGCACTGAAACCAGTAGTGCAAATTTACATAGTGATGGTGGTGTTCGTTTTCTAGAAGGGTACTTTATAGCTTGATACTGCAGAGAAGAAAAACACCCGAATTTACATACTGGACTGAAATTTAAACTTGATAGTGAAATTTCTGAGCTGCTGAAAGAAGCATATTCTGCTTAGCAATACAGTGGGGACCTGACTCAATGGCCAGGGCCCTTAAACTAGACCTTTTACATGATTCGCTCATGATTTGTTGAAATGTACTTGTTTTACCTTTTTTATCACTGTGGAAAGTCATAACTAAACCTGATCCTTCAGGCATATTTACAGAATTTTATGCTGACATGTAAGTCATCACCCAGCAAAGCACTTAAACATACGGGAGAGTCACTGACTTTAATGTATATATTCAAGCTTAAGTTTAAGCTGCTGTAGCAGCATAATGTAGTCTAATTCTAAAAACACTTCAGCATACAGGCAGCTCAGGGAGAGACTACCAGAGTGCTCAGACTTGTGTGTTTGCAAAGCCTCCTCATTGGTAAAGGAACATTTACCTATACTAAGGCCACAGTTATTTAGGAAAAAAAAACTTTTTTTTTTTAGAACTACTAACAGGATAAGACTAACGTAATAAGAAATACTCTACAAATGAAAGTACTAGAATCACTGGGGAAGGGGAAAAGGACTGATTAAAACTCTACTGTAAATTTATTTATCTGTTTTACTACCTGAAGACCCCAGAGAGTAACAAAGATAATGAGTAAAACCTACACGGATATTTCTGTATTTCTTTTCTAAAAACAAATACATATTAAAAAAGACAATATACCAATCAAAAGGAAGGCTATTTGCTCTTAATGAGATCAATGGGCCAAAGTTTAGAGATTATCTGGATAGGTGTAACTCTTTAGGCAGAATTAAGCAGTATCACGGGGTTTGCAATTTAGATCATCACTTAGATGATGCACAATTTGCACAAATTTGGCTTTGCTAGGTGTGTGAGTGCAGTGAGAAAGCAGGAGAAAGCAATGGATCATATAAATTATTAAGATAACAACTTGAAGCCATGCAAACCTATACCACTTTGTGTATGTTCCATTTTGTCACTTTTTAAAAAGAAAACAAAATAACAAACCCTTTAATATAAGACAAAAGTGAAATTTAAGGCTTTTACTGGGTTAAGACCCTGGACTAGCATAGGAGTTCTGAAATGCATGCAAGGAAATTGCAGCATGAATTGATGGAGAAAGATCTGCTTTGTGCAGTACTTTTCAGAGAAAAAAATCTGTTTACTTTGTATAAACTTCAGAGGAAATTTCTTGAAATATCTTCTCTGTGTGGGTGTTAAAAGTGAATGTTCCAAGAGGCCACAGAGAGTAAGATTAGACAGATGTTGTCAGCAACATGACCACAAGAAAAGTTGCAATTGACCCATTATTAATACTAAGCTACAAAAAACCCTATGTTCAAGTAACTTCAGGGATTTGATTCAAACCCACAAAAGTAAAGAAATTCAGACATCAGGGTAAAACTCCTTTATTGTGCCAAATAGCCCTGACATATCATGTATGTGTTGTGTCTGCCACAGAAAGCGCAGAGGAATGCCAGTTCTGGTCATTGGGTCCATCTCTCAATAAAGAGAACAGTGTATTCGCTACAGCAATGCCTAGCTTAAAAAAAAACACGTCTCAAAATTTTTCCATTTTGAGACTATTCTACAGGCCAATAAATTTCAGTCCGACAAAATTTATGGCAACATTTAGGTTAAATGGTTATTACCTTGCACTACACTACCTAGGTGTTCCCACTGTAACAATTAAAGCAATTTCCCTCACCCCTTGTTTAAAAACTCAGAAATGCTTAAATTATTCCATCGGTTTTTAACAAAGGGACCAAGACCCTTTTTTGTACTGACAGAAAACTATGTCTGGCATTGAGAGGCTGACTTTTGATTACACTCACTAGTCATGACAACAGCATAAAAATGACAATGACAAAAGGTAAAATAGAGTTAGCAATGAAAGGCATTCTCTTCCTTAAGGTATGGCATGTATTAAATTTACTTTTTGAGCTTTATCAATTTTCTGCTATTCAGGTTCAGATGGCAAGATAAAAAAAATAGGGGTTTTTTTGTTGTTGTTTCTTTCTTTCTTTATAAATAAGGCTCTCAACAAATGACTAAAAAGGCATTTAGGAAAGCATTCTCTATGATTTATCAAAAAATCATGGAATTGGTGAGGGTGGAAGGGACCAGCTCAAAGCAGGGTCACCCAGAGCCGGTTGCTCAGGATCATGTCCAGTCAGGTTTTGAGTATCTCCAAGGATGGAGACCCCACAACCTGTCTGTATGCAAATAAATACGCAGAAAATACACATTAGGTTTTAGAAATACAATGTAAAAATATATTTAACGATTCTGATAAAGGCAGTCTCAAAAAATGTGCTGTGAAAAAATGTGATAGTCCACTGAAATTTCACTGAAATAACTAAAGCCAAAATTTTGGACAAGTTTTACAGACAATGAGACTCAAAGGTAGCTGAAAAGCTGAAATCAGGAGCTTTAAACTATTTTAAAGTGCTTGTAATAAAGTTTGGAATTTCTTGTCGTTGTCTCACTGATCACATCTGCCTAGTTTAGGGACTTCTAAACCATTCTTTGTAGTGTTTTTATTGATTTCAAAAGAGTATTATTAGACTATTATTACTATTGCTGAAAACACACTTTGCCAGTAAAAGGCAGGCATTCTGCTGTGGTTGGGAGGAATGAGAAGAATGACACCTCCACATAAATCCTTGTGGCAATTTTCTTATTATTAAAAGCTTAACTTCTGGTTGCATCTCCATCATTTTTCACACTTCAGTACTACCTGTCAATCAAACTGAAAGCTGAAGTATTTAAAAACCAGCCTGTCATCATTTTTAAGCATATATGTAAATTCAACACACATTTTCATCTTCCATGTTCAAAAGACTGCTCTGAAGAACAAAAACTCAAGTCAAAACCAGTTTGCTTTCAGGCCACTGACATTCTTCAAAGTGTTATTTTGGGCAGAAATGCTGAATTGGCTAGGAGCAACGATAAACATCAAGATGGCACAGTTGGGACTGCCGTCCTGCCATCGGCTGTGCGGGCAACCACCACCTTGCAACACGAAATGCAAGTCCTGGTTGTGCAACTGTTCCTGATTTTACAAGATGTGCTCGTTGACGGGACACCTCGCCTTCCCTTCCCACCGACTGTCGGAGGACTTGGTTCTCTTGGGTCCTCAGGAGAGGACAAGGTAAACACAGAAACATAGAATGGTTTGGGTTGGAAGGGATCATCTATTTCCAACTCCCCTGCTGTGGGCAAGGACATAAGTATGAAATTTCGATGAAATTCAGGACTCAAAAAACCCCGCTCATTTTTTCTAGTCAGCTTGATGGCTCTGTGTTTTTTGGAAGGTTAAATCTGCAAGAAAGACATTGGATGTTTGATTTGGGAAACGGTTGTGGCTTCTCTTGATCGTCAAGACCTAGACTTAAGAGCAGAAGTAACGACACTTTTCAGCAAGTTTCCAAATCAACGGATTCACAGGAATTCCTGCCTTCTCGCTACCTACCTGCGAGGATTTAGCCAGCTTCTGACTGTACTCCTTCTCAGTCTGCTTCAGCCGGCTGTTTGCCTGAAATACACACAAAAGGCAACCAGATTAGCTCAGATGAAGAACGTGTACAGACACTTTGCCACCGACCCCTCCGCTTGGCACCTCATCCACATGCCTATCGCTGAGCGGCTGGGCCCCGCGCCAACTCCAACGCCCTTTTGTGGCAGCCAAAAAACCGCAAGGGCTTGCCTTTGATCTCGGGCCAACTATTCATCACTTAAAAGAGGGGAGAAATTGTACCTCTGCTGCCAATTATTAGAAAAAAGACTTCTGCGGATTAAAAAAAAAAAAAAAAAAGGCGGGGGGGGCAACACACACACACGAGTTTATCGGGGTGACTTCGATTCTGAACGGAGGGAAAGGAGAAAGTCCCAGGCACGGGCTGCGAGGGTACAGCGCGACATGGAGGACAGGACTTCGTGTCTCAGCTTGGTGTCTGCAGCTGCCTTCTGTCCCACTGCACGTCCCTTCTTTTTGAAAGGCGGCGATTACACTGGAAATCGACCCAACATGCAGCTGAACCAACTGGGAGCTCTTGGACATACAGCTCTTTCCTTCTCCTAGCATTTTTTTTTCACAACTCGAAGATAAAGAATGAAACAAACTGAAAACAAGGCTTTGTTATATTGAAATCCAATAAGCAAATATTTCTATAATTCTGGGGAAAAATAGCTCTTAAGGTTTTTTCCTCAAATAATTTAATTTCAGAAATAATTGATAATAACTAAAAAATAAACTCAATTTCATTTCAGGACACAATTCCGATTTGTATTTTTCTTGCCAAGTGCCACAGCATTATACTGATAGACCGTCCTCAAAACGCTGTCCTCAGATGAACTGCTAAACGCCCTCGTGTTCTTGGCTCTAAAACTTGAAGACAGGTGTCTAAGAAAAATATTTTCTTAGGGGGACAGAATATTACAAAGCTGAGTTCTGAAGCAAATTTAAGCTGATTAAGTTTTCAAAATCTATCTGACCTCGTGTTCAAATCTTTGATCTGTCGCCCTTAGTTTTACGGCACAGCATCCAGCACACAAACACATGCTCCTTCATGCCTGTGTGCCAGCGCCTGTTTTGGGGGACCACAGAAGCCGCAGGGGCCCCCTGAAGCCTCTGAACCCTGCCTGGATCCAGTTGCAAGACAAACTCCAGTTCTGCAAACACCAGGGATTTCAGTCGAGCAAATAGTCTTATTGATTTTACTGGACTATAAATTTAGGAGCTTAAAGTTGCAGACAGTGTTTGCGAATCACTACCAAGGATGATAGGGCTCGAATCATCTTGTACATTCCAGGCAGATATGTATGGTGCAGCTTTATATAAGTATATTACAACCAGTTAAAAATAATCTTAAAGTTTACATGATACTGCAATTTAAGACCTTGAATCCCTTCAAATTCCAAAATTATGAAACATATGGAGGTCTCTATACCTCATCTGTTTGTTGGTACTAATAAATCTACTAACAAAATTGATAAAAATCAATTATCAAATATGAGCATAATTTTTGAGAACACGTTTTGGGTTTTTTTTCTGTTATAAATAGAGATAATGGCACTGTATATTGGTTTAAAACAGCATATACAAGAATTCTGGAGCACCAGACAAATTAAATTCCACTTCTTCTATATTTATCATTTAAAGTGTGCCACAAACACTGCAAGGGCATATTGTGAGGCTGCATAAATAAAAAGAGAGCAGTAACACAGAAGCAGTTATGCCAGACAGCTCTATGCATGCTACATTTCTCTTTGTACTCAAGCTGACCTTTTTTTCTTTCCACTGTATTGTCATCTAGTTTCAGATTACGTTTTACCACCACTGCATATCATAAAGTGACTGCCAGTTTATTTTTAGGGAAAAAAGTAAAAAATAAATTACAGTAATAGTATAAATTACTGTTACTCCCAGAGAGGGAGAGATACTAGTCAGCAAGGCACTGCAAAGAAGATCACATTACAGCTGCTCTCACTCAACTTGCCTGGGGTAAAAGTCTTCATCTTTCATAGAAGCAGCTTTATAACCTCCTGAACCCACGGAAGAAATCCCAATAAATAATAAAAAAACCACCCATAACTTTCATAAACAAATTAATTAGAACTTGTTTGTTCACACTGAGTAGAACCAGGATGACCTCTGATAGACATGACAGAGGTGATCCAAAAGAAAGATATGCTGAATTTCAGTGTTTTATCCCTAACTGAAGGCAAAGAAAGTGTATCCTACCTGTTTATTTAAAGGCAATTACAACATTTTATTTTATAATGGCTTTAACAAATTCCAATTAGCAAAATATTTATAAGTTGTCTCCCAGTCATCAACAAACCACAGGTTCTTGCATTTACTTGCAGTCCCAAACACCCTTATTTGAGGGGTCTGATTTTCAGAAGTACTTGAGCTACCAAAACTTCCCCTGGAGATGGCTCTAGCTGTCTCAAACTGGCTATCTAGATCCTGTGGCACTAAAAACTATGGACACCTGCTGTCTTCAGCTTTTCTCTCTAGATCTGTAACACCGTACAGGTCTTGCATCATCACAAACTGCACAGGTAGCACCAGCGAAGCTTTGCAGAAGGGAGTTTCTACAAGTTATATCACACTGGTCAGCTGAAAAGATCTAATTCATGGTGATGCACAGGAACACTCTTTTCCCTCCTCTTCTTTTACTGCAGAAATAGAAAACTTTTCCCTTTTTAAAATCTGCGACTGAACTAATTTAATACCTCTTGACTCTAAGTTGTTGCTTTGCAGCCTAGGGAGGCATAAACCTACTCCCCTGGGGCACACGTAGCACTGCTGCACGAGAAGAAAGCACCTTTTAACTTTTTTTTTTTGTAAGAAATGGCTTACTGCAAAGTAAATACACATAGCTGCGTACAGCGAACACCGCGGAAGATTTATGTTACATTTTTCTTGACAAACGAGAAGGTTAAAAATGGCATGGTGTACAGAAGCAGCATTTTCCTGGGCTCCTTCTTCTATAACAGGCTGCTCGGCTCTCGCATTGTATGAAGCATAAGCTGCTTCTGTATTATTTTAAGGGCATTCCCTCGCTTTCAGGTTACATGTTATTTCAGAAACATAATGAATAAGAATCCAACTGGAAGGTGAACATTTGGAGGGTCAGCCAGTATTCATTAAAGCCTAACTCTTTTTATAGCAATGGGCAGCACTGCAAATATAGTTAATGGCCTTAAACTGGTTTTCCGTGTGCGAGAGGTAGCTGTTGAAATTCACACTTGCAAAACTTGTCAGAACTATCAATTATAATATCCATTTTTATAATAAAAAGGTTTAAATTGGATAAGCCATAGAGGAATCCCACTGATTCAAAAATTAACTTCTGTTTAGTTTCACACAGTTAATACATATTTTAGCTAAAATTATCTGATTATGACAATTTTACATGGAGTTATTTTATATTACAGAGTGAGGACTTTTGCATTAAAAAGATTATGTCCTTGTTACAGTTAATTGGTTTTAAAAACCAGCTATAATTCTATAACAAGCCTTAAAGCATCATATTGTGGTTGCTGAGCAAAACTGCACCGACTTCAACAAAACATTTCACGTAAAAATTAAAAATGGTATTAGCACTACAGATGTGGTATCTGAATTAATGGATGCTATTCTAACACAGACTGATTTTCATTTTTTCCTTTCATGAAATAGAACAGCATTACCAAGAATAAAGGAGCAAAGGATCTACAATGGGATCACACCGCAAAAGCATACCATGCCCTACACTAATTGCAAAGTTTTTATATGCTATTTTTAAGCTATAAGATGCATTAGAGGGGGTTTTTAGTTCTAGTTCCACTCGACAGAATGCATGCACTAACCAGCCCCGGGGGCTGCTCGCCAGTACGGCCACCTCCAGGGTCGACAGTGGCTCTAGCTGCACTGTGGGGTTGGCAGGTACGTGGACAACTTCATCTTCCATCAGCGACCACAAAGGTGTTTAGGATGTCTTGAATGTTTATCAAAAATGCAGCTATTAAGGATTTTTTGGAACAGTATAAATCTGTGCATAGGGACATGGTTTAGTGGTGGACTTGGCAGTGTTAGTTTACAGCTGGACTCGAGGATCTTAAAGGTCTTTTCCAACCTAAATGATTCTATGATTCTATGTCTTCCAGCTTTGGAATGGTGATTTTCGAATGGAAAGTTAGATTTCAATTATGCTACAAAATTAATATGAAAACTAACTCCTGCAACCCAAACGTGGATAGATCTGTAAGAGTTAAAGATGCATTGTGAAATAGTGTTCATATCTATATATGAATTACAGTTTTGTGACTGATTCACTAGTGTTTCAATTCGATTTCAATCTCCCCAAAACATAAACAAACAACAAAACTCCCACAAATATAACTCTCAAACTAGAGGGTTATATATACCCACCCATATTCACCAATAGAAAAGCAGATTTAAGAAATCTGTTTAGGGTACTAGCTATGAAATAACCATTTTTCAAAATGCCTGCAACTAGCTAAATGATGGCCATACATAAGCTGATCCTCCATAATTAGTTAGATAAAAGTGTAAGCAAGCTGGAAAAAAAAAAAAGGAAAAAAAAAAATCAAAGGATGGGGGAAGGAGAAGAAAGAAAACTTGCTCCAGGGAAGAAGCAACTGTTCTCTGATGTGCAGCAAAGAATTTAACATCAAAGAACTAATGTAAATGGGGCCCATTTACCTTAAAAAACAACACACCACTCCACATTCTGGAATATTTCTATTTAAGTTTGACAGCATCATGCTTTGTACCAAAATTCAAGATTGTGTAATTTGACAGATGTCAAAAGAAAATGACCTTCAGAATGGCTAACTATAGCAATTTTTGTTATTAAGTTATGTTAAAACACTCTGTACAGTATCTGTTTAAACTTCAGAGATTAGCAGATCACCTTTTAAGTTCATCGGATTGTACATAAAAATTTCATTTCGACCTCAAAGCCTGAAACATATATTTTCCTTATGTGCCTCTAATACCAACAGTGGGTGACTTCCTACGCC